ATTGATAAAAAGTTTAGAGCTGCAAGATAACTGATGTCTATTGACATTTAAGTTTGTAAGTTGAATATTGATGATTATTTGCATTGTTTTTGTAAGGATATGTAACTTATAACATTGTTTTATTTCTCTTATTAACTTCTATAGTTTCTGTGAAATTTTTCAACGGGTTGTGTGAAAATATGCATTCATTAGGCAATAAGTCCCCTATCCAGCTTGATCAAGTTACTCCTTTGTGAACTTAGGTGATTTTCTAGAGCCATGCAATCAACTTCAAGCTTTTTACTTCATAAAACCTTTTTAATACTTATTCTAATGTATTGAAAAACCTCATTATACAAAGGTAGATAAGTTCTCCACTATATGATTTCCCATCCTGAGCATGTTTTTTATTAGTTATAATATTATTTTATGCAATCACTCATTCTTAGAAGGAACTTAACAAACATTTTAGACCTGCTACCAAGATGATAAGAAGAATAATATAAGATATATTGATTTTATATTGTGTGCATATATTTAAAATAAACAATGGAAACAATTTGTATGGATGAAATAACTGTAGGAAAGATGGCAGAATCAATGGGTGGTAAGGCAAAATGTTGGAGAGCTATAGACTTGATTTTGGAAAGTTCTCAAAAGCCACTTGTCCAATGTTTAAACCTTGGTTGGTTGGTTGGGTCCCTCTACCATCCCAACACTGCTGGACACCAGTCCACTTAAACTGAGGTAACTGTTTTAGAAATTAATGTACTTTTTATGTGATTTGCAATAATGATTACCTACAAGTTATGTCCATGAATATAAAAATAATATTTGGCCCACTTTTTTATTACATTATGAAAAGGGAATTTTTCATTCCTTACAACACAAATCAAGTTTATTTTTCTCAATCGGCTGTAGGTACTTGTTTGGAGAAAGTGTTCAACTCCACTTTCGTGACTAAATGTTTCAAAACTGGTTTATAGTTTTTGTTGCTATGTCTGCCAGTTCTTTGAGCTGATGAATTCTTAACACTAACGATCATTTAAATTTTATCTTCACTGCTGGAAGTGAAGACCCACAACACAAAACCAAACATGTATATAAACCATAACTCAACCTCATTCACTCTTGGATATTTCTGATTAGATGTGTGTTTTCAGAAATTCAGAGACGTTTTTATGAACTTGCATGCTTCATCTTCTTGCATTTTTAGCAGTTTCTGCAGGATATATTAAAAGAGGTAACCTAAGGTGCCTGACTTTACTGCCAACGTCAGTAATGGTTTAAACAACTGTCTTAAAATTGCTGGTCAAATTTTTGAAACATCCTTCATTTTTTTCAAAGTATTCAATAATAGTTTTCTCCATGTATTTTGTTATTAGGTATATTATCTTGCACTTCTGTAGGACTGTTGGCTTGCTTCAGATTTTCATGAAAACTACACATTGGTTATCTGCACTGTCCCTAATTTTTGAACTGATAGATTAGAAGGAAGGCAGCTAGTCAACAGCATCTACATCTAACTCTCTAATTAAATAGTGAGATTTGACTGTCACTCTTAAAATGCACTTATAGCCTCAAAATGCATATAATGATTTTGGAGCTGTACGATGCAACCTACAGACCCTGAATTTCACAGTCTAGCATGCCAACCAGTTAGCCATGCCTCTCCTACTGTGTAGTGGAAATTCCAATATTTTCTTAAATGTTCAATCCTTTTGGAAGAGCCATATTTTATTCATGAAGATAAATATTTGTTGTTTCAGATCATTTATCATGTTTTTTATGCACAGAGAAACTGAAGATTTTTAGAAGCCGCATAAC